CTCTCTCTCTTTCTCTCCCTCCCTACTACTCTCTCTGAAAAGCAATGGAAAAAAATATCATTGGGTGAGGGATTAAAAAAAAAAAAAAAACTTTAAAAAAAGAACTGGTAAGACAAATTCCAGCGCATCTAGAAATGGCATGTCATACAGAATATCATGTAACCATCAAATAAAATGAGGTAGATCACTGCTATGTGTTCATGAATGTGTAGAGGAGAAAAACTTGTCCCCTCTGCCCTTCTGGTTCTTTGCTTGAACTAATAATTAAATTGACATAAGACAGATAAACAGGAGGGAAAAAGTTATCTCTGCTAGTAGCTTTCTTCCTGGTACAGGCCCCCTATCTAAATTCTTTAGGGCAGTTAAGGGAGAGGTAAAAGGCTCTTCTTGAGTCTGCTGAGCCTTAATTGTCTTCAGCTCAAAATAATCTCCATGCCAACGTGCAGATTCTGGGACAGACTGCCCTGAACTCCATCAGAGGCATTCCAAGAGCTCCAGGAACAGGAAGCAAGGCATGAAACAGGAATAACTCCTACTGAATAGAAAAAAGGCAAGGAATATATATATATATTTAACAAATATATAAAAAGATACACCAATGGTTGGTTGCCCCCGGGGAAAATAAGGGGTTACTGAAGGAAGATTTTCTTTTTATTATATACAGTCGTGTATTGCTTAAATTTTTCACCATGAATTTTTCAAAAATGAAATTGTGTGTGTTTATTTATACTCGTACACGGGCACACTTTTAAAACAAAAGCTTTCTAGAGGAAGTACCAGCAAAAGCAAACAGGAAGGGCAAAGCCTGGCTCACTCTCCCCGCCTGACTCACGGCTTCCTGGGCCACGACCCACCAGACCAGGCTGGTGTTGCCTGGCTCCAGCTTCAGTGATTCCTCAGTCTGGGAGCTGCTGAGCTTTCTTTCAAGAGGAGGGACTGGATAGAAAAAAGGCAAGGAATATATAAAATTACACCAATGGTTGGTTGCCCCTCCATCTGTGACAGGAGATGGTTCAGGAAAGAGCCCCTTTCTCCAAAATGCAGATCCTCCCCCGACATTCTTTAGAATTTTACCTTAATGAATTGTACTTTTAATTAAGGCCTGTCTCACAGCTTCTATTTCCTTTTCCCTACAAACTTTTAAGAGGTCATCTCTATCTACATTCCCCACATTCAAAATAATTTGCATATGTTGCAAAGACTGAAGTCAAAGAAAATGTTTGTGAAAAAACTTTCCCTCCACATTGAGTACCAAACCACCTTGAAAACAGGAGTTCTTGACAATAAACTCTGACGAAACAGCTTGTTCACTGCTGGCCCAGCTGGCCAATTACACAGGGAGGAGTTCTTCTCAAAGCGTAATATTCATTATTAGCCCCACAACAATTTGGGAAGCATTTCCAGTATTCAGAGAACCCCTTATATGAAATCAGACCGGTGTTTAAGCCGATCCATACCCAGGAGCCAAGAGGAACAATTAAAGGAGTGAATGTTTTATTCTTTAGTGTTTAATAGAATATATAACAAGTCACATAATCAATGATTCTTTACTTCACACACTGGGAGGAAAACAGTATCGAGTATTTCTGTTATACAACTGGTTGTGAACAGGGAGAACAAAAGTCTCTAGAGCATTTAGGTGGTTGAAGAAATTCTCATTTAAAGTTTGGGCATGTCTGAAAAGACTTCATCAGTGCCTTTTTTCAAATATAGAGGAATTTTTTTCCTTGGCTTTCTGTTTTGTTAGAAAAGCCTGATAATTGTATAATTAAGTTTTCCCTTCCCCCTTCTATTTTGAGAAAATGGCCTTATATGTAAGATAACATTTTCAACAATTTCAGAATTCCAAATAGCAATGTGGGAATCATATATAATTTAATAGATAAGAGTCTTTGCAGATGCCTGGAAATTTTAAAATAACATATAATTCTCATCTTCAAAATTAACATCCATGATGAATGTTTTAACCTTTTATCATTCAATGTCACTAATGCTGTTTGTGTGGTCATAAATGGTCATCATTTGTATTCAATAGTAACAGCAAAATCTGCCTTCTTGTAAAGTCACAAAGACAGTTGTATAATAGTTTACATTACAATTAATGTTCACACACGTCAAAATACATTTAAAATAAAAAACTTGGCTTGGAGGGGAAAAAAATCACAAAATGTATAAGGTGGCAAAAATTCTTGGTCAACTAGTTCATCTTCCTACCACACAAGATTATACTGTAATGTAGATATTCTGGTTGAATTTCTTCCAAGTTTCAAGGGCCCCAGTAGAAAAATCTAAATCTTCAAACATGAATACTTTTAGGTTTTTATTATCCAAACTTGTGACAAAGTAAAGTTAACTTCAACATAACTTGTTTCTGGCATTAGAAACCCTATTCCAGGTACAATAGACACTGGAAACACAGAGAAGTTTATTTATTTCTCAAGAGACAGATTTGGCCATCTAAGAAAAGTAATTCAGTTTTTAAATGTTATAGTAAGAAGGAAAAAAAGGATTTACTCTGGTAGGTTTATAATACAAATATTCAGTTTACAATTTTAGAAATTTAACTGAGAAAAGTATTTATGACTTAGACTATAAAAGAAATTCCTAAGGAATTCAACCCCTCCAGTTAATACTTTCTAAAGGCCTGCAGTATAACTTAGCATTTTTCATGTGGAATACAAAAATGTTTGAGTATTAGGTTAGAATTTATCATAATTTAAAAAGTAAGAAATTATCAAAGCTTCACCTTACATGGCTTCAATATAACATTCCATAGAAAATTCCAATAAAAATTGGAATATGTTTATGAGCATGGCCAGTTGCCCATTTTGTCTGAAAATTCACAGGTTATGCATTTCCTCTGAGGAGCAACAGGCCCCAAATATATCTGGTTCTGGATTGAAAGAGAAGACAATTTTGGCTTGTATCATAAATTATCACTTGCACTCAATGCAAAAATCCAAATAAGAAACACAAGAATGAAAACAGTACTGAAGGGGGGAAATGGTTAAGTCTCACCCTTTCAAGGAATATTTTCCACAATATATAATGTGAAAAATTAGAATGAATATGGTTCATATTCTACATGTATTAAAAAATAAGACAACTTGTCCAATACTTGGCGCAAAAGCATTAAACTTGGTATCTGTATTTTTAACCACCACTGCCAACAATTACTTTTTGAAAATTTTTAAAAAATTAAATGTTATTAAAATCTAATGTCACTCAGTTGTACTTATGAATCAAATGGTAATTAGAGCTATTACATACATAAATGCATCTACACTGAATCAGGTTAATACAGTCATAATTACCTGAGTGATCTATGACATTCTCCCAAGGGTTTATCCAAATATCCTCAATATCCCATCCAAGCTCATAGGTGACAGCCAACAAACACTCCAGCCACTTTGTCACCAAGGGTCCTTCTCTGGCCCAAAGCACATGGAGAGGAAGGGCCCCAAAGTGCCCATGTCAAGACATCTTATACTCTCCACCCAATGTAAAGTGAGTTTCCTACCCAGCCTTTACTTTGACCTAAAAGTAGAATGTTTCCAGGTATCACTTCCAGCTCTAGAGGGGACAGTCATCCCTAGAAAAAGAGGTCATTGTCTCTAACCATTACCTTCCCAGTCTTTCAGATAACGAAAGGGGTAAGGGGAGCATTGCAGGGCAGCAAGGAGGGGAGGGGGACAGTAAAATATGTATGGAAAACTTCAACTCAAAGTTCTACAGGATAAAATTTATGACTTAAGTGGCAGAGAAAAAACCTTCAGCGGTTTCCCATTACTCCTGGAGTTGTGCAGATTTAGCAAGGAAAATCAGAACCTCAGAATCTTGCCATATGTCGGTGGTTTTGATCCGGCCCTCTAAGATGTTCTTAATTATGTGATTTTTGTTGAGCAATCTAACAGAATACCACATGGGTGGAGAAATCTCTGACACTCACTTTTGGCCAGTGAGCGACATTCCTAAATCATTTCAGGCTTGACAGAGAGATAAGTTCTGATGGATTACCCACCTAGTCTGAGATCACACTCAACACTAAAGCAAACACAGCTTCCTGGATATCTACTTCCACTTCCCTTAGGATTACAGTCTTTGTATATAAAGCTAACTGTACCTTTTTAAAATTGCAACCACAAAAAAAGACCTCAAATCTTTCCCTTTCCCAACAACAACAAAAGAATCAGTGGGTTAAAAATACAGGTACCTTGATTTAAGTAGACATTTAATCAACACATTATTAGTATACAACTAATATCCAAGCAAAAAAAAAAAAAGTATGGAGCAAACTCAGTTTAATAATTATGCATTTTTTCCTAACCAATTTCCCCATTTTTAAGGATATAAGAAACTCATCAAAACTTGTTGCCTAGTAAAAACACCATCTGATGCCAGTTACTGGGGGCCAAAAACAGGAGATTTTACAGCATTAGTGAATGAATTAAAAAACTAAGTGATTTGTGTAAAATGTTTATATATGGTATATACAGACTGGGTCACATGAATCTAAGACTAAAACTGTCCCAATTCTTAACATCTGTTACGGACCTAGTAAGATACAGTACAAGATTCAATTGTAAAAAGAAGAAAAAATAGCGCTAATTTAAACACTGAAAAGAGACTCTTACAAAATCTTTAAAAACGTACTCCAGAGAAAAATGCTGAAACAAAGAAAAAAAGAAAGGCTTCTCAGTCATCACAGAATATTCAAAGGAGCCTCACAGCATGAAAGATACGGGTTCATTTCCTTTCACTTATGGTACAGAGAGGATATGCAGTGGGAATTTATTCCATGTGAGAGAAAAGGTATAAGGCAACCAGGTCTCCTTCTGTTTCTGTTGCATTTACCTTAAACACCATTTTATTGCTCGGCTCGCTTTTAACTGCTTGTCTTCATTTTAAAATATTCCATTTTACAGCTCTCTACAGATGGGCAGCCCTTAGTGCTTCTATTTCTCTGCAGCTCCGTCACTCAAAAAGATTCCACCTTCACTTCAAAGAATCCGCATAAAACAAGTGGCATTTTCTAGCTTTCGGATCTGCCCAGAAGTCAACACTGACTGGGCTCGGAGAAAATAAGGATTTTTAATAAGAGATCTCAAGTCTAAGGAACCAAAATCAAATGTATTTTGCTCACGTAAACAGATTTTCTTTTACTCAGGATTTATAATCAACAAGAAAATAAAGTTCAAAAACTAAAGCCCTACTGGGTAACTCTTTGGTTAGGTTAAATAAGTATTAGCAACTTCTAAGTTTAGGACTCAAAACAGTTCAATAAAATGCCAGTTAAGAGCAGATGCTATGAATCTTTATAAAAACGCTCTGCCTGTTTTTGTGTACTATTTTTTAAAATGTGCATGTACTCAAACGGATGGTACGAACTTCCAACTTCCAAATAATAGATGAGAATGCCTGTTCCTCCCTTCCCATCCCTCCTGCCTTCCCACCT